CTCAACCGATTTCAATGAAATTCGGTATATAATATTTTCTTAACACCGTGATGACATGTACCAAATATGGGTGAAATCGGTTAACAACCACGCCTAAAATCTCGATTATCACTTGCATGCGAGAGTATAAAATGTTCGATGACACCCGAACTTAGCCCTTCCTTACTTGTTTGATATAAATTATGCCCTTTTTAAGCTTTAGCATTAATTTTTTTTTATGTACAAAAAAAAATATTTATATCGATGTATGCTCCCCACTCAATTTCTAATATTACTTCCGGATATTTTGACCCACTAAGTCCATGATCCAGCTTTTTGGCCTTATTTTGATAAAATCGATGTTTTTGAATACGATTTTCCAAAAAGTTCCAGATATTTTGAATAGGATTTATGTATTATGATTGCGGGACCTATGGAGTTACTTTTATTTCCATAACAACCCTGCACGTGCAAGATAAGACGTGATATGCTAAATTTAATGTTAAATATAGACCTCGTGAAATGTATAGAAAAAAACCACAAAATTTATTCATTTTATAAGAAATAAACGTGTCGTAATTTAATTGAACCAGATGTATGTAAACTTTATTGGTCCACTGTATATGTCGTAATCTAAAGAACGTAAAATATACACTACTAAAATTATATATGTACATAATATATGTTGTGCATATAACGTAGCGAAAGACCTAGACTTGTATAGCGGTCAGGCACAACATTGATTTCTTTTGCATTTCAGAGTTTCTGACTCAGGACTTGGTGGCGGTGCAGGCAAGGGACTCTGAGGGCAAGGACTTCGTCCTGGCCTCAGCATACTTCCCAGGGAAGGCACCTACAGCGCCACCGGAGATGGTGGAAAGGCTGGTAGAGCACTGCAGACGGCACAGGCTCCCCTTCATCATAGGCTGCGACGCTAACGCTCACCACCCGGAATGGGGAAGCATCGATTGCAACACAAGAGGTGAGTCTCTTTTAGAATTCATTGTAGGTAGTAACTTAGAAATAGAGAATGTAGGGTGTGAACCCACTTTCATAACTATAAGCAGAAGGGAGGTGTTGGACATCACCTTTAGCAACGAACCTGCAGGCGGACTCTTCTCGCAATGGCGGGTCTCGACGGAGCCCTCATTGTCAGACCACAGGATCATAAGGCTCAAGCTAAAGGTAGAGGTTAAACAACTCTCCCCTAGACGCAACCATCGGAGGGCAAATTGGAACGCCATCAGGGATATATTAAGTAATGGTTTAAGCATAAGGGAGCAGACAGATGATAGCGTTTCAGGCCTTGGGCTGGAGAATAGGCTCTCTAAGCTAAATGAGTCTGTAATCAATGCTTATCATGGCAGCTGTCCCCTCAAAGCGCATACTGACAGACGAGTCTGTCCGTGGTGGACAAAGGAGCTAGCGGACCTCCGCAAGAAAGTACGCAGCCAGTTCAACAGAGCGAAACGTACGGGTTCTGTCCAGAATACCGAAGCTATCTGACCTTATATAATAAGGAGATTAGGTCTGCAAAGCAGGCTAGCTTCAGGAGATTCTGCGAGAATGTCGCCACTACGCCAGAAGCGGCCCGGCTGCACAAAGCTCTGGCTGGGGGCCAAAGGTAGTAGAAATATCAATTAAGCGGGACGACGGGACATTCACGACCAATGCGGAAGACAGAATTATGCCGTTACAACAACAACAACAACAGGGCCATGGAGCTTTTGAGGGCGCACTTCCCGGAGACTGTTTGGGAGGACCGCTGTCCACCGGTGATCGAACACAGGCCATCCCGCGAGGATTGGAGTATTGCCTAACAGCTGTTCACGGCGGACTCGATCCGATGGGCGTTGGCCTCGTTTGAGAGCTTCAAGWCTCCGGGAGTGGATGGCCTCTTTCCGGCGCTGTTGCAACAGGGGGAGCAGCTTTTGATGCCCCACCTAGTTTGACTGCTGAGAGAGAGCCTCGCATTGGCGTATATCCCTGAGGTATGGAGGACAGCGAAGGTGATCTTCATACCTAAGGTAGGAAGAAAAGACTACTCGTTGGCGAAATCATTCAGACCGATAAGTCTAACRTCCTTCCTACTGAAAACCATGGAGAAGATCGTGGATCAAGAAATAAGGATGAAGGCGCTAAAGAGTTCACTGCTGGATCGGCTCAACATGCCTACAGAGCGGGCAGATTTACCAGCACTGCTCTGTACCAGCTGACCTCTGAAATAGAGAGTTCACTGGAGCATGGGGAGGTGATGCTCTGCGCGTTCYTAGACRTCGAAGGAGCCTTTGATAACACGTCCCACAAGAGTGTARCAAGGGCACTGGAGAAAAGGAATGTGGCGGCACCAGTGCGTAGATGGATAGAAGCCGTACTGCGCTCAAGGGTTGCTGAGACCACAGCAGGTGATAGCAGTATTCGTCTCAGCACAACAAAAAGCTGTCCACAGGGGGGTGTGTTATCACCCCTGCTACGGAGTCTAGTTGTGGACGAACTGCTAACACTGCTAACAGACAATGGAATCCAATGTCAAAGGTACGCGGACGACATTTTCATTATGGCAAGAGGGAGATTTGAAGAGACTCTTTGTGACTTGATCCAAAGAGGTCTCAACCTAGCGAAGGGGTGGTGCAGAGAGGTTGAACTAAATATCAACCCCTCCAAGACGTCTGTAATCCCATTTACAAAACGCAGGACCCTACCCGGCCTCAGGAATCTCCTACTGGGGTAGTGAAATAGGGATGACCAGCAGTGTTAAGTACCTCCGTTTAACGTTAGACTCCACGCTGAGGTGGAAGCAGCACGTAAAGCTGACTTTGGTCAAGGCGACAAAGGCCTTAATGGTGTGTAATCGACTGGCAGGAAGTTCCTGGGGTTTAACGCCAAGAATAGTTCATTTGGTTGTACACCATGATAGTAAGACCGATAATCACATATGGGACGGTAGCCTGGGCCTCAGTAGCGTCGCAAACATCGGTTAGGACACAACTACTGTGTCTGCATGACGGGCGCAATGCGAACCTGTCCAACGGCGGCACTGGAGGTTCTTCTTGAACTTACTCCGCTTCATCTGGTCATCGGTCTGATAGCCAAACACACTCTTCTGCAAATAACGGCAGAGGGGTGTGGAAAAGGAAAAATAGTCTCACCCGGAGGATGGAGAAGATAAGTGGCAAGTTACCACTGGTCCCCCTCCCGAAGGATAGTACTACTAAAAAGGTGAACCTAAGGAAGAGGTTTAAGGATACCCTCGGCAGCAAAGAGGATTGGAACGACTCCAACCTCGAGCAGATGTTGAGGAACAGTACTATGAGGTGGTACACAGATGGCTCTATAATGTCGGAGGGAATGGGCGCAGGGATTGTGGGCCCACGCACTAGGCTCCCAGTACTCATGGGTGAGTTTCCGTGCATTTTCCAGGCAGAGGTGTATGCTATAACACTGTGCATAGAAATAAACCTCCATCGCAACTATCGCAATGAGCGTATAGCCATTCTTAGCGATAGTCAAGCGGCGCTGAAGGCGATCTCCTCTTACGAGATCAAGTCGCTTCTAGTGCAGGAATGCAGGGAGAGGCTGAATAGCCTTGCGGAGAGAAACTAGGTACACCTGATCTGGATGCCTGGTCACAAAGGTATAGCCAGCAATGAACTGGCGGACGAGCTCGTCCGGTCCGCAGCCTCCACCAGGATGGTAGGACCCGAAATCTTTAGATCGCCGATCTAACCCCGACCCGAAAACTTTACAGGAGTGGGTCCCCACACCATGAAGGAGCTGCTCCGTAAAAAGGAAAGAGCAGGCAGGGAAGAGCACTGGCGAAAAACTCATGGTATGAGACACGCCAAGCTGCTAATGGGAGGTTACAACCTGAAAAGGTTCAAAATAGTAATAAACCTCCCCAGGAGAAAACTCAGGCTGTCAGCCCCCTTTCCGTAGACCAGGTCACATATACATTCGTTCTTGCTGTGACTTGTTATTGCTTCGTACCTCTATAAGAGAGAAACGTTACCCGATTACCTGCATTAGCAAGAAACTTGAATTAGTAAGAGACCTCTGTGAGCGAGAATTAGATTGTACTCCCTTGAGCTCTCGCTTATCCAGGTTTGACTGTACATATTACTAGCTATGAAATTTATTTTACAAAGATAAATTGATTCTCAAGTTAAATTGAAATTTATGTCATCGAATGTAATGGCAACATCGACAGTGGAAAAAAAAAAAAACCAAAAAGTTCCCATTAATGAATAAGCAAATAACTGAGTCCCTATTCTGTATCTCGATTCGTAAATGTATTCAATTCGAAATTCGGATTTACTTTATAATTATGCGAAAGTTTTACCACCCTGTGCCAGTATAAATACGTACAATTTTCGTTTTTGCTTTCTACAACTCAAAAGCTAACTAATATTTTATTCGAAAATTTGCTTGAAAATAAGAAAATCGAGTTACAGAATGTAAAAAATCCCAATTCGAGTAAATTTTTTTTCGAATCGAGTTACAGAATAGGCCCCCTGTGCAAATTTTCACGTCTTTCTCTATTGCGGTTCGGTACATAACGAGTTAGATTCAGCTTTATAATCTTGCAACCGTTGCTACGGAGTTTTATAATTTTGTTCATCTAATGGTTGTGCGTATCATATAAAACTAAACGAGATAGATATAAGGTTATATACATATATATATTTGATGAGGCCTTGATCTCGACTAAGATTAAACAATATAGCGTAACCGCATGCATAAAGACAGCTTTGCACAATTGTTATGATATGTCGATTAATGATTTGATGACGGGTCTGTCAGATATACATATGTTTCAATTAACAATCTAATTTTATATTTATACATGCCTGAACAAGATGATGTTGGGCGTGATGTTTGCTGTACCTGCTGTGACATTTGCCACCCAGTTGAAGACGGTGAAGGCGAAGAAGTCGTTATGCCCAGCTTTCGATTTTGCATTTCAGTATACAGCTCTTTCGTAGTTTTAACCTTTTTACTACCCATACCCAGTGATGATATCAGCATTTGGGATGAAAGACTAGATTCTTTTGCAATAACAGAATCAACCCCTTTTGACCCTTTTTTGCGACCACGCTTTCTTGGTACTTTTTTCTCTGGCGAAACCGGAGCGTTCGAGGCTACTTCAAAATTATTCGAAAGCTGTGATTTCGATGAAGGGACATTCGATGTTGTCACTAGTTGTGGTGTTGGCACATTTATGGCTGGAACAGCTCTATTCTGTAAATTCAAGTTGTCGTGCTTTCGATGAGCAGGCATCATTTTATCATTACTAACCACATCGATGAGATCTGTTTGTGAAGCTTGACTAAAGGAGTTGCTGTCATTTGAATTAAAACCAATATCGCGAAATGGTGCAAATTTGGATGTCGTGCGTCCAGAATGTAAAAAGTTGTTTACATGTGTAATTTTTGGTGAGACAGTCCGACGAGTATTATATAAAACAGCATCGGTACTGGATGTTGTTGGAAGCAATGCGTTACTTGGCTTGAATTTACCAGCAAATGTTAAGTCAGATGTTGACAAGTTAAAGGATGTACGATTACTATTACTTGCAGAACAATTAACTTTATTTTGTTCATTAATTGGATGCTTAGAATTTTCTGGAGGGAACATTGAACTATTATCCAGTAGCGAAAGAATTTCTAAAGAAAATGTGAAAAAGATTTAGTTTTTGATACATTGAAAAACGCCAGTTTTACCTGGATATGCCAAACGAGACTTTTCTTCATTGGCAAAAGATGAATATTTCTCGTCGCTTTCACCACACTGACGATGATGTTGTTGATTTGATGTTTCTTCTAATAAAACAGTGGCAGCTTTTGAATCTCCGAAGGCATCAATTTCTCCTTGAACATCGTATTCACCTTTTTCTTTACATCTCCTTTCTTTTCTTTCCTTTGTCTGTTTTAATGGTGAGAGGGATGTCGCTGTATTGAGTATATTATCTAAACTAAACGATTCTGCTTTAGCTTGTCTAGGTATTTGTATTTTAGTGTTGATTGGAATATTGGTAGATATAGGAGTAACTAAATTGGAACCAGAATTTGAGTCCTGTATATCAATTATAATGGGACCGAGATTTGCAGAACGATTGGTCAGTGGGAGCATCAAACTCATTTCAGAATTTGAATTTGATGAATGGTCAATTATAAATGTTTCTGTGTCTGGCGGAATTACAATTTGTTGTTTTTTTAATTTATTACGAAACGCCGAATTATTACTTGATATATCCACATTACTTTTATCCGTAACGCCAAAGCCAACGAGAACATTCTCAAAACTTGTTGGCTGTTTTTTAACATGGATGGATGCATCCGGCGCTTTTTCATTTTGGCTTTCGATATTTGAAAGCCTTTTATTGTTATTATAAGAAGCCGATATTACATTTGTGACCCGAGGTATGTGTTCCGTGATGGCAGAAGATACAGCAACGACTGGGATACTATTGGAAATCGATTGGTGTTGTGTCACATCGATGTGCATTGATGATGCAGCTGGAGAAATAGACTGCGATCGCAACCTTTGTTGTTGGTACGAAATATTGTTATGGCCAGATACAGACGGCAAAGCTACAGATGAGGTAATTGATGTGGCGTCAATAAATTGCTGTTGCTGTATTCCCACCATTTCGCGCCATTTCTTTAATAAAGACTTGGCACGGCGTGCTAAATGCTCATCCTTGGTACGACGCCTTAAATGGTTAATAAATTTTGCCAATCTGGTGGTCTCCAATTGCTCTTTTGTAATCGTTGTTCCCTCCAAGGTTGATATAACCGACATGACTGCATCCATGTTAACCACCTATATGAATAAAAAATCGCTTAATGCTTTTGTAAATAATAGACTTCTTCATAATACTTACATCATAATTCTGATCGAGCGCTTGACATAAACGAAGAGTTAGATCATGTATGTGCTTGGTGTTCATTTATAATGAACGAAACAAAAATAAATTATGTAATGAAAATAACCGGAACTACACCAAAACAACGAAAACTGTTGAACATGGACTCTTTAAAACTCGCTACTTTTTTGTTTCAATTGATTGTAAATAATTCCAAGAGCTGTAAAGAGATTTTTGAACAGAACCAAACTTTAATTACACTTGTACTTTTAACTCCACTACTGAACAACACATAGAACCAGTAATCCACAAGTTGCCAAATGTCGACTGATTATATCAGATATATAAATTCTTTCCTGTGATTGCTATATTTGAAGCGACGTTATACTACATATATTTTCTAGAACGCTATCGAGTATCATTTTTAGCCATATTAACAACTCATCTTAATTACTTAGAATATTATATGTTATGTTTACTTAGAACCGGCTGTAATTAAAACATTTTCAAATAACGATGGATTTATTTAGAGTTATGTACAATTTGCCATGTGTTATGATAAATAAAATAAGAAAATAAATACATTATTTATGCGGATTACATATATGAACTCGGACAACAAATTATTTGTGTTTTGCGGAGAATGTTTTTAACCAATCTAAATCAAAATTTATTGGTTTATTTATGAACTAATGAAAAATACTAGTGGGTGCGCCACACAGAAAAAAGAAATCCAGGACATCATAAGCTTTACAGCCTTGGACAAACATCCTTATTATTTCCTTTTATACTTCAAAATTTCGGTAAAGCTTAAACAGCGCACGAAATTATGAAATGTATATTTAGGAAACGGTTTCCAATATTTATTTTTAAGATGTATGACAACTTTATTATATTTATAAACGTTTATACTATTATCATAAAAAACAAATAACACAATACAATGCGATCAGAGAAGTGTAATTTTTAGGAATTTATATGACAACACTACTGGGCGAAACCGTGTTTATATCGTATAAGGTTACTCTTATTTGAAATACACAAAACAATGTAATAAATTTAATTAAATTGCAAAAGAAGTTTTTCTCTTATTGATATAATTACATTTGGAAACGTAGTATCTTTAGGAAACACTGATTTTTATGGTAATAGTACAGTGCCATTTACAATAACACGAAGTACACGTATAGGAAATCGAATTAATTCAAGCACTAGATGCCTTAGTTTAACTTCACGCACGGCATTTGGGTAATGTTTTATAGTATTTGGCAACTTTTCAAGGAAATATCGTGGATCTTTACACATTTTATACTAAGAAAGAATTCACCAGCTAGTTGCAACCCAAACTTTTGGTGTTAAAACCGAACTACTATCAATATTACTTTATTATTTGTATATTTTGCACATCATCACCTCGCTTTGCTTAATTAACACAATAAAATTTAATTAATTCCATAACGTACGCTTTAATTAGATGTTTAGAAATTGCTTTAAGTTTCGCGTGCGATAAAACGTTAACTTTTTACAGTAAATTTAGAAAAGTTACAACACATCACACGCACGTTACATCCATGCAAAACAACTAATCGCGTAATGGCGGAAAGAAAGAATACGGAGAATGGCCTCGCCATATTCATCAGAGTTATATTGAAAAGATTGTTTCAGTGTTGCCGTCTCTCGATCTAGATGTGAATTTTATAGAAACCAATAAAATGTCACATATTACTGTGCCATATGGCAAGTGTTAAGAACTTGAAATTAAAAACAAACGCAATATCGATCTGATTGTCTTCCTTATTAAATAATTGTTTTTTATATATTCGTGAAATTAAATTAAAAAATTTGTTAAAACAATAATAAAAAAACAACAAAAATGTACATTAATTTCAAGATTCGAAAATTTTATAGTCCTTACAGATGAGCACAATTAATGCCTTAAGCAAGGGTAATGTGCATTGAAGTTTTATGGTGACAGACGACATACTTGTGCATTTAGACAGGTGATAGTGAAATTTGTTTATTTATTTAAAAAGTGAAATAAAAACGAGTAAGATGAATTTTTAATAGGAATTATGGTACTTTTGGAAAATCAATATAAATTCAACGAAAAAAGTCGTTTATTATTAGCTACGTTAAAAGTGAATTAATAGCAATAATTGATTATAATGCGGAAAAAGTGTGCGAAAAAAATAAAAATATCGGAAAAATGGATAGCTAACCGTGCTTTGTTTATTTGCTGTCAACTAAAAATATTAGAATTTGGTTTTGTTAATATTCTTGCACATAATTTAATTAACAATATAAAACTGCTTACCTCTGTAAACGCAAAACAGGCAGCAGACTTCAAGCGACATCTGTCAAAAACTAGCAAAAAACTGCCATTTTTGAGCTGTTGCCTACTCAAATTTGGCAAATTCAGCTAAATGCATGAAATTCTTGTGCATGGCAAATTTGCATTAACATGGGCTAAATGCGCAGGTAAATGTAAATTAAGCCCGCTAATGCATATTAGCGTTGTTGTCAGGGCTATTTGGCAACTTGCTAGCAGAGATAAAGAGATGTACAATTCTCCTGTCCAAGCTTTGACAGTTCGCTGAATATGGAAGGTTTTGACATTTTGCAATTGGAATTTCCAAATTGAAATACTTCAACGCACATAGCTTATTTCATATATTCGCTTAAAAATAAATTGTGTTGGAAATGCGGATTTTTAAGCACTTTTACAATTTAGTTTGATATTTCAAATTTGTAAATAGAATATTAAAAAACTATACATATATATTTTCTTAATTTATTTGAGGTCTAGATTAAAAAAAAATTTAAAACATGTGTTCATATTTGTCTTAATGTTAACTCAATACTCAATCACAAAATTTGTAATTTTGGTTTGTTTACATTTTAGCCTGTCAAAATGGGGTTTCTCGCTATTGCCAACGGCTTCTGCTTGGAAAAAGCTATTATGAATGAAAATAAAGCGATGAACTGGCAATACCTCTAGTTCAACATGCAAGCTATGATTGCTTACGGTGAATCTCGACAGGGAAAAATTTATGGCATACTAATAGCGGGATTCTGTAACCAGTCTCTAATCTCTATTTGAGACATTTTGTGGTGAAATCTCAGTTTGTGACTAGTTACTAGTCACTAAACAGTCTCTAGCTTTGCTCTCAAAATATTGCTTCAAATTTGAGACCTGGTAGTTAGCAAGTCACAAAACGAAAAAGAACTCTTGTCTGCCATTTTGAACATTATGAATAGAGATCACCACAGATATTAATCGATTGTCGTTTTTTTATATTTTGTAAGCAACTGAGTTGAAGAGGGAAGCGAGACGCATTTGCAGACAGAAAAGGAAAGAGGCCGAAATGCGTGAGTATGAAGAGCTTGATAAGCTGGCCGATAGGGGTAATGCTCGAAAATTCTACGAAAAAATGCGGCGGCTTACAG